TTCATTTGTACTTAATTTGTTATATCGAAACATCAAAATGTTTTCAATAATTCTGAGGGAGAATTTGTACCAACAGGAGTTCAGAATGGATAGAGAGTCTGCATCGATTACAGGAAGTTGAATTCATTAATGCGAAAAGACCATTTTCCTCTTCCATTCGTAGATCAAATAATATAAAGATTAGGCAATAAAACTCACTATTGTTGTCTTAATGGATTTTCATGTTTCTTCCAAATTCTAGTAGCATATGAAGATCAAGAAAAAACAACATTCACATGCCCCTTCGGCACCTTCGCTTATCGGTGAATGTCTTTCGAATTTTGCAATACACTTGCCACGTTCCAAAGATGTATGATTATTTTTTTCTGATTATATTGAGAAAAGTATCGAAGTCTTCTTAGATGACTTCACTGTTTACGATAATTCATTTAATGAGTGTCTATTAAACTTGACAAATATGTTACGTTGGTGCCTAGAATTTAACCTTTTTTGAATTATGAAAAGTGTCATTTTATGGTTGATAAAGGTTAATTCTAGATCATATTGTTTCTTCTAAAGGAATTATGGTAGACAAGGCAAAAACCGATATAATACGTTCACTTCCTTACCTCACTACGGTGAGGGAAATTCGTTCTTTCCTTGGTCATGCAGGTTTTTACTGCATATTCATTAAGGACTTTTCCAAGGTGGCGCAACCATTATGCGAGTTGTTACAGAAGGATAAAACCTTCAATTTCAACCAACAATGCATAGAATCATTCAACGTTTTAAAAGAAAAGTTGGTTTCGACACCCATAGTTCAACCGCTGAATTGGGATTTTCCCTTTGAAGTCATGTATGATGCTTCGGATGGAAGTGTTGGAGTCGTACTCGGACAAAGGATCGGGAAAGAGCCTCATATTATCTCCTATGCGTCTCGTACCTTAGATTCTGCACAACAGAATTATTTAACAACCGAAACTATCATTTTTGCATTATATAAATTTAGATCATATCTTCTTGGCACTAAAGTTGTTGTTTTCTCTGATCATGCAGTCTTGAAGTACTTGCTTAGCAAAAAAGAGGCGAAACATGACTAATCCATTGGATCTTACTCCTCCAAGAATTTGATTTGGAAATCAAGGATAAGAAATGATGTGAGAACTTGGTGGTTAATCAATTAAGTCGGCTTCCAATCACTACAGTTGATCCTCCCATTCGTGAGGAATTCCCGGAGGAAAGCTTGATGATGGCGTAGAAGTCAATACCTTGGTTCGCAGATATAGTTAATTACTTAGCTACAGATAAATTACCATCTAATTTGACGAGAGCTGAAGTAAACCGTATTAAAAGAGAATCTCATTTCTTCATTTGGGATGATATGTATCTTTGAAAACATGGTTCAAACAATGTAATTCGACGTTGTGCTGCTGAAAGCGAAGTAAGCTCAATTTTAAATTTTGTCATTCTTATTCGAGTGGTGGACATTTCAGACCAAAGCAGACTACTCATAAAATCTTGGAATGCGGTTTCTTTTGGCCTCATATTTTCCGTGATGTTTACTTATTTTGTAAATCCTGTGATAATTGCCAACGTGTAGGTAATTTGACTCGAAGAAATGAAATGCCTCTTAATCCTATTCATATATGCGAAATATTTGATGTTTGGGGACTCGACTATATGGGTCCTTTTGTTCTTCATTTGGAAATTGTTATATCATTCTTGCGGTTGACTATGTTTCGAAGTGGGTAGAAGCTAAAGCCACTCGAAACAACGATGCCAAAACTACAGTTCAATTCTAAAGAATTGTATTTTTTCCAGGTTTGGCACACCAAGAGCGATAATAAGCGACCGCGGTACACACTTCATTAATCGAGTAATTGATGCACTTATGAAAAATCAGAGTAAATCACAGGATTGCCACAACTTATCATCCGCAAATAACGGACAAGAAGAAATTTCAAACCGTGAAGTAAAAACAATTCTTGAAAAAATAGTCAAGCCAAATCGCAAGGATTGGAGCTTGAAATTGATTGATGCTTTATGAGCTTATCGAACTGCATATAAGGATATATCGGCATGTCACTATATCGTCTTGTATTCGGTAAGCCATGTCATTTACCAGTCGAGCTGGAACACAAGGCATATTGGGCTGTAAAGCAATGCAATATGGAATTGGAAGCAGTTGGCGAAACACGAAAGTTACACATACATGAACTAGAGGAAATCCGGAAAAATGCTTACGACAATGTCGGGATATATAAAGACAAAACAAAAGAATTCCATGATTGAAAAATTGCTTTTAAATCTTTTTTATCAGAAAAAAAGTTCTTCTTTTTAATTCAAAGTTAAAACTTTTTGCAGTTAAACTTTGATCGAAGTGGAGTGGACCTTATACGGTAACTGAAATTTTTTCTCATAGTGCAGTTAAACTTGAAGATGATTCGAGTACTCGATTTAAAGTTAATGGACACAGAATAAAACTGTATTATGTGAATAGTCAGGCTTGCTTAATTGAAGATCTTGACCTAGAAGAACATGTAGTCTGAATCAGGTCGTTGAGCTAACGACATTAAACAAAAGCGCTTCGTGGGAGGCAACCCATTGTTTTTAATTCTGTTACATTTTTTTAATTTTATTTTATTTCAATTGAGCATGTTTCATTTAATCATTGTTTTTATTTTACATGAACCAAATGTTTTTAATCAAACTTAAGAGATAGAGATTTACGAAATTATCATTCAAACGGTGCCAATTTCGGACTCCAAGAGTGATGTGAAAAGCAGTACAGTGGAACAAGGAAAAAAAACGTGTGCACCGTTTCATTAAACGGAGCACGTTAGCGTAACCCTTCGAAGGCATGCGCATGTTAGCAAACCCCACATGAAAATTTTGCCCCCCTTTTTGTTATCTTTCTGTCGCTTACCTCACCCTATCCCCTCTTTCTTTTACTTTGATTATGGACTCCACCCCATCCCTATCTCTATCACTTCCCATTTTAATTTTAACTCCCCTTTATTTTAATCAAAAATAATTTCACTCAAACTCAAACACCCCCCATGCATCGTAGAAACAATTAAACCAACCTCCCTTTCATCTTCTCCAAACCGATTACCTCTCCCCAAACAACGCTTCCATCGACTCTTTGTCTCCTAACTGTCACCGACCTTACCGGATTATTCCACTCATGCTAATGTGTTTCAAAACGTCCTCCCCTCTCCACTCCACAATGGTGCGCACAAGAAACCAATTGGGCGACGTCGCCGCCTCAATGCGTCGGTTTTTGTCTCCATACCAAGTGACTCTGACTCCGTTCCACTACTACCTTCTGTTCGCCCGATGCTAGGCCAGGGCCACGCACCAAACATTCCATCTTCTCCGTATCACTCGGCGTTTTCACTGACCGCCTCGTTACACCCTGGGCCGAGCACCTCTCGCCGCCCATCACCACCGCGCTCCCCTTCTCCATTGTTCCAGTCAATGCTGACTGTAGGAACGTCATCATTCCATCTGCGACCGACGGGTTTCCCATCATGTTTGATGCATTTGGCGGCATCGGACGACACTCCAGAGGTAAACTCTACTCCTATTTCGGTTCAATCTTTTTAAAAAAATTGACGTTTTGATCAAAGTCAACCCTGGTCAAAGTTAATAGACTAACCAGTTTGAGTTGACTTAAAGCGAGTTGACTCGGTTCAACATTGACCAATTCGATCTATCCAAATTAGTTATGTTCGATCCAGTCTAACTATACTTATTCCAGAAATTTCCTTTCTAGCCAAGAAGCCCACGTGCAACGGTGACGCGTGAGGTGGAACCGGTGCACTTTAGGGTATTCCGATCACTCCTGAACAAATATCAAGCCAAACCAAGGTTAAACGAATGAAAAAAGAGTTCGGAGGATTTACCCCCAGTGGACGACGGACAACCGATGAAGAGGGAACACCGTAAGTTAGGTTTTGGTTGCAAGACGCTGAGAAATTCGATGTTGGGGATACTGAGGTCACTGGACGCCGAAATTGATGTGAAATCGTGAAAAATTGAGGAGATTAGTGAGTTTTTTGACGAACGATCGAGGGCCTTTTTATAACTAACGGCAGCGGGTCTCAGCGAAGGGATGGTCGGTTCTTGGTCGAGGGTGAACGGCAATCAAGATGGTGGCGGCGGTTTACAACATGTCGACCAGAGACGACAACGATGTGCAACGAATGGCAACGGTAGACGATTGCTTGAATGATTTGGGGTTTTAGAAATTTAGGGATTTGGTTTCTGGCTTTAGGTTCAAATTAGGGAAAATGATATTTGGGGGAATTATCAAAATACGAATTTTATCATTTTAATCATAATAGTACCTTAGCCTATATGGCAGGGCAAAGGGTATTATACCTATAAGTCAAGGGTTCTATTTTCACTTAGCCACATGTTTTAAAATATCTCACCTTTTCTTTCTTTCTTTTTCTTTGCAAATCAACGATGGTCAAATTAGGGAATGAGTCCTTGAACTTTTAGGGACTTTGAATTTTTATCTAAAATCCTCAAAAGTTTACAAAATGGTCCCTAAAAATAATTAAAATAAAAACATATTAAAAGCAATTAAATTGAGGGTGTTACATAATAGCTTTGGGAGATTTCAATGTTATTTTTCTTCCGAATGAGACCTCTGATTATGCTGGGCTCAATGTTATTAACGGTGATATGGCTGACTTTCATAGTTGGCTTTCTTCCGTTGGAATGTTTGATCACTCGTTTTCTGGTCCGATGCTCACTTGGTCTAATCATCAGGAGGATAGCCCTTTTGCTAAAAAAAACTTGACTGAGTTCTTGTGAAATCTTTCTTAACTTCAAAGGTTTACTCGTTCACATGTGGATATTTTGGTGCCTAAGATATCTGATCAATGTCCTATGATTATGCTACTTGATATGGAGGCTAAATCCATTCCCAAACCTTTTCGTTTTTAACTTTTAAACTCGTCACTGTTTTTTTTTTAAAGATTGTGGGTGACTCGTAAAGGCAATCGATTATGGGAGTTGATTCTATGTCCAAGTTATTTCTTAAGCTTAAGATGCTTAAGGTTCGGTTAAGACAGTTTAATGTGGAAAAGTTTGGGGATATATTAAAGATGGTGCATGAAAAGATGATGGAGTTGGAAAGTGTTCAGTTGGGGAATTTTGTAGATGGAAATGTATTTGGTATGACTAAAGTAAAAGAGGTGTATACGGAGCTTGAGGACCTTTCGGTGGAGGAAAGTTTCTATCGTAAAAAATTTAGGACCACTTGGATCCAAGAGGGGATCAAACTACAAATTTTTTTCATGCAATAGTTTCCAAGAGACACAGCCAACAGGTCATTACTAGTATTCGTTCGGAGGATGAATAGTTATTGGAGAATTTTAAAATATTGCAGGTGAGGCTGTAGGGTTTTATAAAGGGTCAATTGGTCAGTCTAACTCTAGTATTACTAGTTGTTCTATGGGGCTCCTCAGGGATCTTTGAATGTTACTTTCTCTAAAGATGCAAATAGTAAGACGGGCAGATTGATTAGTAGGGAGGAAATTAAAGAGGCAATGTTTGAGCAGAATGGAGATAGAGCCTCTAGCCTGGATTGTTATACTCCATGTTTTTTAAAGTAGCTTGGGATATTGTTGGGGAGGATTTAGTGTAGGTTGTGTTTTATTTATTCAATACTTGTTGGTTGCATTCGGCTTTCAATAGTACCGCCCTTAGTCTTGTTCCGAAAGTGATGAACCCTTCTTCTATGAAGGAGTTTAGACCCATCTCATGTTGTAGTGTGGTTTATAAGTGAATCACTAGGATTATCTCAAAGAGACTTTCCAAGTTCTTGTCAGAGGTTTTTTCGATAAGTCAAAGTGCTTTCGTTAAAGGTAAAAATATCATAGATAATACCCTTGTTGCTGAGGAGTTTGTTAGGGGTATGAGAGATCCACTTTTTTTCTCATGTGTTTTTTGAAGATCGATATTTCAAAAGGCTTTTTACACCGTTAGTTAGGATTTTATTCTCTAAGTTTTGGAGGCATTGGAGATCCAGAGAGTTATGTTTGACTAATTTAGATCTTGTATCACTTCTCTCAAGTTTTCTGTGGCATTGAATGGGGATTTAGTTGGCTATTTTGAGGGTGCGCAGGGTGTCAGGCAAGGAGATCTTTTGCCTCCTTTTCTATTTGTTTTATCCATGAATGTCCTGCCCAAGATGTTGGATGTTGCTGCTGGCCATGGGTTTTTCAATTATCATCCCAAGTGTCATAGAATTAAGCTTACCCACCTTTGCTTTACGGACGACTTTTTGATCTTCTCGAAGGGTAGTTGCGACTCAATGATGGTAGTTTGGACTATTTTGGAACAGTTTTATGAGTTCTCTGGTCTTAAATTCAATGATACCAAAAATAAAATTTATTCCACCGGGATTGGTGAGAGCAAGATGTATGCTATTGTGGAAGAAACGGGCATAAGGTCTTCTAGTCTTTCGGTGCATTACATGGGGATTCCTTAGTAACTATAAAGTTAAGCTTCTTTGATTGCCAACCTCTAGTTGATAAGATTGAGGTCCGACCCCAAATTTGGGTTGTTAGACTTTTGTCTTATGTTGGGAGGATCCAGCTCATTCAAGTTGTCATATTTAGCATCCAAAATTATTAAGAGTAGATAGTTGATATTCTCAAAAGTTGTTTTGCAACGTATAAACAAGCTTTGCACCTGGGTTTTTTATTTTTTGGAAAGCCTGTGACTTAGTTGTGAGTGGTGCAAGGGTGGGTTGGAGTTTTATTTGTTGTCCTAAGTTGGAGGGTGGTCTTGGTCTCAAGCGTTTGAGGTTGTGGAATGATTTTTATCTGTTGCAGCTTATAAAGCGTATTCTGTTGAAGGATGAGTCTCGTCGGGTAGTTTGGAGCTATGAGTATATTTTGAAGGGGGTTGATTTTTTGCAAATAGAGGTCAAAGGAACTTGCTGTTGACTATGGAAAAAGTTGCTAAAGCTTAGAGTGGTCCTTCCTGCTGATATGTTTACTACTCTTAATCTTGGGGCTGCAAAGTTATGGGATATGATTAGAACTATGAATGAGAGTATTTTTTAGTATAAGATTAATTTGGCATACTTGTCATATTCCTAGACATTCCGTGATATCATGGATGGTTATTTTGAATAGATTGCCTACGAGGGATAGGCTTGCTGCTTTTAGTTTCCAAGTTGAGCTAGGATGTGTGCTATGTGATGATGATCAGGAGTCTAAGGACCATCTTTTTGTTACCCTTACTCTAAAAATGTTTGGTCTGGAGTCTTGAGGCCATGCAGCTTGCATAGGAGGGTTATGAACTGGAATGTAGAGTTGAATTGGGTTACTAGCATGATTAGGGGAGGTCTCTCCTTACTATTGTTCTTAAACTTGCATGGAATTCTGTTGTTTATTTAATTTGGAAAGAGAGGAATGCGAGAATTCTGTTGACGCAAGAGCAGGCTCTGATTGTTCAGGTACCTTAAGCAATGTCAGGGGTTCGAATCATGGCGTTTGCGAATAGAGCAAAACGGGTTGGAAGGTCACCCTCGCATCTGAAGTACCTTATTTGAATTAGTCAATTAATAGATCGGATATCAGTGATTAATTCAACAAAAAAAATCTATAAAAATTTGTACGTTCAACCCTAAAACATATGAAGACAAGCTTTTAATTTCGTCCAACTCCCTATTCTTCTTGTTATCGCATCACTCCAAAATTGAATTAGCTTCTCATTATAATAATATATTTATAAACATACTAATAAGCTTATGGGGTTTACTGATATTTAATTTAAATATATATATATTGTTTGAAAAGATATCTTATAATTGAATTTGAGTTGTATTTATATATAATTAGCAACTTGTGAATGTTTAACCAACTATCATAACTTGTGGACTCCTCTAAATTTGGTGTAATTAGAGACCTTCAATAACATTTCTTCAATTCTTAAGAACATGGGTACGAATTATATTGTCATACTCTTTAATTTTATTATTAATATTTATTTTAAATTTAACTTATATTAGTGTGTAATTATAATTTATTCTATTGACATAAATTAAGATATAATTTTATTTTATCAGTTAAATATTGATAGGCTTAAATTAAAATTGTTAATAATTACACTATCGTACAATTATAATCATACTCTTTAATTTTATAATTAATATTATTTTAAATATTGGCATAAATTAAAATTGTTAATAATTACACTATCGTATAATTATTAATAGGCTTAAGGGTTACTTTTGTCTTTGTATTAGACCAAATTTATCGTTTCTGTCCCTATTTTTTTTTTGCCTCAGTTAAGCTCTCGAAGTTATTTAGGGTATTTATCTTAATCCTTAGAATTCGTTAATCATTTTGACTAACATAAATATTAGTTTTCTACATATGTGAACTAAGTGATTAGATTAAAATATTTGTTAATCATAATTATTAGAATAAATTTCAAAAAAATTATTATTTGTTTCAATGAGATTAAGTGATTAAGTCAATTTTTTTAAGGATATTTTCTAACGGTTGTATATTTTAAAAATTTTATTATTTATCTTTTTATTAAATGTCACATCATCATCAAGAAGGGGTGTTCAAAATTTTGGTTAATCGGTTAAACCGATCGAATTAAAAAAGTTTTGGTTAATTAGTCGGTTAAAAGTTAATGATTTTTTTAAAGTTCGGTTATCAGTTAATTCGGTTCAAAATCGACTAATTAACCGAATTAATTGAAACTTTTTGAATATTTAAAATTTTATTTATATTATTTATATATTAATAGCTTTAGGAGAGTTTAAATTTCAATTTTGACCGAATTAATCGATCGAATTAACCAAATTAGTCGAAAATATCAAATATTTAATATATATTATTTAAAATTTTGGTTAATTCGGTTAATCAACCGATTAACCAAACTTTGTTCAATTCGATTAATTATTTTCAAAAAAAATCAATTTGATTAACGGTTAAAACGAAAAAAATCAATTAATAAAAATTTTGAAAGTTTGGTTCGATCGGTTAATTGAACCGACGGATTGAACACCCCTATCATCAAGTCATGTTAGTAAATATTGGATGATCTAGAAATTGTTGATGTTGATGAACGCAAAAGACTAACTGTTCTTCTAGTAAAAACTCATTTCAAAGGGTAGGATGAACACCGTAAACAATTTTAAAAATTAAATTGATGCTAAATTAATGCAAAAAAAATCATGTGGACGAAAATTATAAATTGAATATACTATAGAACTAAAAGTAACCCTTAAGCGTTTATATATATCTCTGTTTTGAAAACCAGACGGATCGGCCGGTTCAACCGGTTCAACCGAAAACCGTTGCTTAGTCCGGTTCAATCTAAACCGGTTGAACCGCTATTAGTGAACCTGCCAGAAAAGATGAACTGTTCGAACCGGACCGGCTAAAAACCGGAAAAAACCGGGAAATTAAACCAAACAACGTCGTTTGTTAAACGAGCCAAGTCGAACTCGAGTATTGCTGAGCTCGACTCGAACTTGAAAACTTTAAAAGTAAGCTCAACTCAATTCAAACTCACAAGCTAAAAATTATCAAGTTCAACTCAAACTCGAAATATAATATTAAAACTTGAACTCAAAAAGGCTTAAACTCAAAAAAAAAAATTAGAAACTCGATTGAAGCCTAAAATTCGAGCTTGATTGAAGTGAAAGAATAGTTCACTCAATGCTCAACAAAAGGCTCCATGGTTTTGAATGTCAAATTACCTCTATTATTTATAGAAGTTAGTTGTGATGCGCTTCTATGTTTTCTTAGCAATGTGAGATTGTTTTGTTTTCATATTTTTACTCTTTAGACTTTTGGGATGCTCTTCTATGTTTCTTAGCCATGTGGGATTGTTTTTTTAAAAAAAATTAAACCAAACAATATCATTTTGTTATGATTTTTTTAACCCCAAATTTATTTTTTAATTATAGTTATATAATTATATTTATTATTTAATATGTTTTACCTTAAATATTATGTTGTAGTTAATTTGAATCATTTTGTTTCACTTGATTTTATGGTTTTTAACTTATATATGTTATGACTTGCTTTGAATATGACTTGTGATATAAAAATTATTTTTTATTAAATATTTTTGGTATTTTTATTTAATTTTTTAAATAATTATGACGTCGTCCGGTTCTTCTGACCGGTTCGACCGGTTGAACCAGTGAACCGATAGTATGACCGGTTCGCTAACCGATCCGGTTCTGAAAACCATGTATATATATATATATAAACTGCATAATAACATACAAATAATCATTATAAAAAATTATTCAATAAATGTTTATAAACAGTGATAGAAGATCTGTGTGTGATCTTTATTAATAGAGAAAATAACCTCAGTGACCAAAAATCCCATATAATATACGATTTTAACCAACTTTTTCCGGATTTGCCAAAATGACCAACAAAATCGCAATGCGATCGCTAATTCGCAACGCGATCTCCATTATCGCAAATTCGCGTTGCATTTTCGCAATGCGATAGTTGAAAATCGCGTTGCGATGGTCTACAGTATCGTTGCGATTTTCCCAATTCGCAATGCGAATAAGTAAATCGCAACGCGAATTGGAAAAATCGCAATGCGATACTGACTATCGCAATGCGATAATAAAATATCGCAACGAGATACTTACTTTCGCAACGCGATACTGACTTTCGCAACGCGATAATACATAATCGCAATGCGAATTTCAAAGCGCCATTAGTATCCTGGCCAAGTATTTTATTTTTAAATTCCAAACATGAATATTAATATATATTGGAACACTGAACTGTCCACAGTATATCCCGTAATCGCAACTCATAACCTAAAACCTAAAATCACAACTCAGTCCCATCTCCATCTCTCACTCTCTCACCCATCTCCGACGAAATCCGTCCCCATCTCCGGCGAAATCCGTCTATCTAAATCTCTCAGAGCCACCCTCACAATCAGAAAATGGAAAATCAACCAAATCAACCAACGAGGGTTAGTTTTTTTAATTATTTTCTTTTTGAAATTTTTGCATTATTATTAGGTTTTTCATATTGAAATTGATGATAAGTTTACTGGTAATTTCAATAATAGATTAACCATTTCACTTAGATTGCTTATTAAATCAACCAAGAAATCGCAACGCGAAATGCAAATCGCAACGCGATTTTAGTTTCGCGTTGCGATTCTCTCGTTGCGATAGTCATTTTCGTGTTGCGATTTTCATTTTCAGAAACTATTATTCTTCTGCAAATTGAAACTTGAATGAATTGCATTACTTCAACCAAAAAACAAAGACAAATACGAAATTCACAGTGTTGCATATTTAAGTTTGAAGAATAAACTACTACTATTTATGTTTATTATTGTTTTTGGTATATCTTCACAGTGTAGTTTTTGGTATATCTAATTTAGTATGTTTATTGTTTTTGTAGAACTTTTATTCGGCTCAATTGACCTTGAGAAATAAAGTCAGCCTGGCCAAAACAATTGCGTCGA